CCACTGAGCTAAATCCCCGGCCCAGTTTTTTTTTTTTGAGACAAGGTCTTGCTGTGTAGTTCAGGCTAGTCTTGAACTCACTATGTATCCCAGGCTGGCCTCAAACTCCTGGCAGTCTTCCTGCTTCAGCCTCCTGAGTGCTGAGATTACAGGCATGTGCAGCCACACTTGGCCCTCCTTTTTAAAAAAATTTGAAATAGGGTCTTGCTAAGTTGCTAAATTGCCCAGGCTTGGCTCAAACTCTCATCTTCTTGTCTCTGCTTCTTAGAATACTGAGATTACAGGTATGCACCACTATGGCTGGCTCTTTTTTATTTTTTATTTTGAGATAAGGTCTTGTTAAGTCATTGAATTACCCAGGTTGGGCTTGAACTTGTAATTCTCATGCTTCAGCCTACCAGAGTGTGGAGTTATGGGGAGAAAATATTTTAAATGCTTTCGATTAATGGTTTAGATACCAGACACCTCTGAGTATGTATTTGTTGATATGTCCTTAGCAATAGCAGATCTTGTCCCATTTAATTTTACTTCTTTTTTTTTTGGTACTGGGGATTGAATTCAGGGCTTTGCACTGTGAGGCAGGTGCAGTGCCACTGAGCTAAATCCCTGGCCTAGTTTTTCATTTGGTGAGGGTATAGTACATACTGCATATAGGTGAATAGCAATGATTTCTCTGCAGAAAAGTAGAAATTTTTCTTCTTCTTTTACAGGCTACCAAAGCTCAACTTAGCAAAGTGTTCTCTGCCATGTTGGCCATTCATTCGAACAAGCCAGGTATGGTGAATTCTTATCAGTTCTTTCTCTACATTTTATTTAGAGTCAAGCCACTTTGCAATTTATTTTGCTTGATGAACCTAAGAGAAATTATTATTATTATTATTTTTTTGGTACTGGGGATCGAACTCAGGTCCTTGCTCTTGCAAGGCAGGCGGTGGAACCACTGAGCTAAATCCCCAGTCCTAAGAGAAATTATTTTGAGGACTTGAGCTTAGGGAGTTGTCCTTAGTAGCTTTGTTCGTTTCTTTGATTTTTTGAGACAGGATTTCGATGCATAGTTTAGGTTGACCTTAAACTCACTATGTAGCCAGGCAGGCCTTGAACTCGTGGTAATCCTCCTGTCTCTGCCTCCCAGGTGCTGGGACTATAGATGTGGGCCACCATGCCTGACTTAGCAGCTTTATTTTTTTTTTGGTACTGGGGATCAAGCTCAGGACCTTGAGCAGCTTTGTTCTTTTTTTTTTTGGTTTTTTTGTTTGGTACTGGGGATCGAACTCAGGTCCTTGTGCTTGCGCAGCAGGCAGTGGAACCACTGAGCTAAATCCACGGCCCAAAGAAAACAGTAGTGAATTTCTTTAACTTGGGTACAGAGCAGAGCTTTTGACTTTTTTTTTTTTGGTACCAGGGATCGAACTCGGGTCCTTGAGCTTGCGCAGCAGGTGGTGAAACCACTGAGCTAAATCCCCGGCCAGCTTTGTTCTTAATTAGCTGCCTCATAGTAGTTCATCCTTGCTTGGTGTGTACTACTAGTTACTGTGTCAGGTGTTGTAGCTGCATACAAGAACTGTCTTTTTAGTTGGTGGAAAGAAAATAAACTCTTTAGTCTGTTGAGGGACATTTTTTTGGATGCAGTGAAATCAGAGTGATTTCAAATGTTTTATTTTTATTTATTTGTTTTATTTATTTGTTTGTTTATTTATTTATTTTTTGTTTTTTTGGTACCGGGGATCAAACTCGGGACCTTGCACTTCTGAGACAGGCGCCGGAACCACTGAGCTAAATCCCCAGCCCTCAAATGTTTTAAAAGGGAAAGTCTTGACACAGATTTTGTTGTCAACACAGAAGGTTGACTAGCACAGAACAGATACGCATATTTTGAGTGAAAAACTTCTGTTGTGAGAACGTGAATGACACATTGTTATATAGTAGAGGTATGCTGGTACCTATTCTCAGGGTAGTAGGCTCAGTAGACATTTTATACTGACAAGACCCAAATAGGCTACATTTGTCACCAGTTTTCTCAGAAAGATACAGCAAGATACACCTGATCTTAGCCAAAAGGCTGAGAAGCTGTAGATAAAGCAAGATAGCATTAGGTGTGTTTTCTTAACAGAATCCCCTCAGCAGTTTGGAGGCCACTCTATGGTTTTCAGGGTGGCACTTCAGGTGTAAGAGGACAGGATCACATGAGTGGTAGGAAAACCACTCTGGTAGAAGCTCTATGGTTGAGGATAGCTTCTAGAGGAAAATTCTTTTTTTTGTACCAGGGGTTAAACTCAAGACCTTGCACTTAGGAGGCAGGTGCAGTGCCACTGAGCTACATCCCAGGCCTGAGGATAGTTTCTAGAAATCCTAGGAAAGGTCCATGCTCAATTCTAGGAGACACATGTTCAAGAAAGCCCAAAGCATTTGCAGCCATTTATGTTCCTCCTACAGAGTCCAGATGTGGTTTCTAATCAAGGGTCATTGTTTTGCCAAAAGGGAGTCCTACCTCGTGAGAAAGCTGTCCTTTATTGCGCTCCTAGGGAAATAGCTAGAATGTTAATTTATTTCTTTTTTTTTTTTTCTTGGTACAGGGATCGAACTTGGGACCTTGCGCTTGCAAGGCAGGTGGCGGAACCACTGAGCTAAATCCCTGGCCCTAGAATATTAATTTCTAACATTTCTAATTAATGGAATCAGTTTCCCATTGGAAAGACAAAAGTTTTTTTGTTTTTTTGGTACTGGGAAGTGAACTCGGGACCTTGCACTTGCAGGGCAGATGGCACCACCGAGCTAAATCCCCAGCCCCATTAAAGTTTTTTTTTTTAATTAAACTATTCTAAATATAGAGAAGAGTACAAAAATAATTTATTGATTCTAGGATGCACAGTTTTTTCCCAACATTTGAACAGCTTTAAAATTTGTGTGTGACTTAAAATAATTATATTAGCCTTAGACCTGGTAAAATACAGTAACAGGCACCTGTGTATCCATTATCCAGAGTGAATATATGTTAGCATTTACCTATTTGGTTAGAATATACTTTCTGCCTTTACATAGAGCAGTAAAACTTTGTAGTTAGAAGCTCTCTCTGTCCTCTTTCCCTTTTAAGATTTAAAAAAAGCCAGGTGTAGTTGAACATGCGTGTGATCCCAGCACTCTGGGAGGCTGAGGCAGGAGGGTGACAAGTTTGAGTCCAGTCTAGGCAATTTGGTGGCTTAGCAGGACCGTGTCTCAAAATAAAAAATGGGCTGGGAATATAGCTCAGTGTAAAGGCCCTGGGTTCAAATTGCCAGTACAGCAGAAACAACAAAAAAACCCAGCTTTGAGTATTAAAATTGGAGCATTGATTTTTTTCTTGCCTAATATGATTGATTTACTGAATTGAAATCTGTTTTTTTGTTTTTTTGGGTTTTTTTTTGGTACCAGGGATCGAACTTGGGTCCTTGCGCCTGCACAGCAGGCCTCGAAACCACTGAGCTAAATCCCCAGGGCCTGATCTTTTTTCTTTTATAGCTTTGTGGATTATGGCGGCCAAATGGGAAATGGAAGATCGCTTGTCTTCAGAAAGTGCAAGGCAGTTATTTCTTCGGGCTCTTCGCTTTCACCCAGAGTGCTCAAAACTCTATCAAGAAGTGAGTATGCCAGGTGTGGTTGTACACACCTGTAATTTCAGCTACTCAGGAGGCTGAGAAGGATTTGAGTTTGAGGCCAGTTTGGGCAATTTAGGGAGACCCTATCGAAAAATAAAATAAAAAAGGGCTAGAGGTATAGCTTGGTATTCCCTGGGGTCAGTTTCCACCCAGTATTGCAAAACAAAACAAAAAAATGTGAGTGTGGAGGCAGGCAAGGTAGTGCATGCTTGTAATCCCTGCAATCAGGAAGGAGGCTGAGGCAGGAGGGTCACAAAGTACCTCAGGCTGGCCTTGAACTTGTTGTGCCCCAGCTTCTTGAGTATTAGAATTACAGGCATCTGGTACCATGTTACCACCTTTAAAAACAAGGTCAAGTAACATTAGAATTGTTGTATACTATTACTGAATTATCGTTAACTATTTTTACAATAGCTGCATTGGCAGTCTGTTTCTTTTATAATCTATTATCTTTCCCTGTTGGGAGTTTAGGTTATTTCCAGCATTTCCTCTGATGCTTTTTTTTGTTTGTTTGTTTTTGGTACTGGGCATGGAACTTGGGTCCTTGTGTTTGTGGGGCAGATGGTGGCACCACTGAGCTAAGTCCCTGGCCCTCCTCTTATCCTTTTACATATAAAACTTTTGAATATTTAAAACTATTTCTTTGGATAGATTCTTGGAAGCTGAATTACTATCTTTTTTCTTTTTTTGGTACAGGAATCGAACTCAGGGCCTTGCACTTTTGAGGCAAGCAGCAGCACCACTGAGCTAAATCCCTGGCCCCAGAATTACTATCTTAAAGGATATCAACCTAGATAGAAAGATTTTTTTAAATTTAATTATTTTTGCAGTACTGGGAAACTAGTGATTGAACCCAGGGCTTTTGTACTAAGCTACATCTCCAGCTTTTTTTTTTTTTTGGTACTGGGGATGGAACTCCGGACCTTGCACTTACCAGGCAGGTGCTGCCTTTTTATTCATTTTGAAACATGGTCTCACCAAGCCTCTAAATTCTGAGGCTAGGCTTGAATTTCAGGTCTTTCTGCCTTGTATGCCACCACACCTAGTAATACTGGTGTCTCTTGATTGTCTTTTCATTGAAGTTGAGATTGTCCTGTTTTTAGTATGAGTGATTTTTTTTCCACTGAACTTTAAACATTTTAATTATTTTATGAGACACTGGGAACTATTTAAATTTTCTGTTCAGTTGATCTCTTTTTTTTTTTGCAGTACCAGGAATTGAACTCAGGACTTTGTACTTTTGAGGCGGGCGCTGTGCCACTGAGCTAAATCCCTGGTCCCTCAGTAGATCTCTTTTGATACTGTTTGCTTTCAGCTAGATAAGAATGGGAGTCCAAATTCTCTTTTCAACCTTGGTTGCTACTTCAACATATATTTATGAAGTCACAAATAAAATTATCTACAGAAACCTTCATTGTTAGATGACAAACTTGTCTACTTCTAGATTATAACATGTTTGTTGATTCTCCAAGCCCACTGAATACTAGATTTTATGGTTTGTTTAGGTGTGAAGTGGTAATCAAAGGTACAGAAGGTTTTTTTGCGGGGTTTTTTTTTTTTTTTTTTGGTGGTACTGAGAATTGAATCTTGTGACTCTCTACCATTGAGCTACATTTCCAGCCTCCTCCCTCAGCCTCTTAGGTAGCTGGGATTACAGGCATGTGCCACTATGGACCTGTATCCTGCTTTCTTGGCATGTCTTTTGCCCATAAAATGAGTTGTTATTCATAACTCTTCAGATTTGAATGCAGAAAGTAATTTTATTCTTCAGTATCTGATTGTATTGTCTGTGAATTATTTTTGCCTAGCTGGAGGTACTAGTTTTCACAGGAGATAAGATAGAATATGGATCAGTTTGTTTCTTGGCTATCTCCAGGGTTTGGGTAAAGGATGAGGTTTTCTTCTGCCTTCTTTATTACAGGAAATCAGGAGCCTCAATATAACAAGGCTGTCCAGGGCTCATGGAGCCTTGGGTATTCACAGATAACTGCTGATTTGAGAGTTAATTTGAAAGTTAGTAGCTGCAAAAACATTTTTAAGAGTTTTGATTTATATCTCTAGGTTGCTTGTCAAGAAGAGCATAAAATAATATCATTTTCATCATACCTTATCAATGTCTGCTAGTTTCATAACAAAGTAAACTATAACAAAGTAAACTATAAGTCCCTTAGGTTTTTCCAGGTCCAGTGTTTATGGGTAAAAAAAAAAAATGGCATCTTAAATATTTCTTTTTTCTGGTACCAGGGATCAAACTCAGCACCTTGTGTGTACCAGGCAAGTGAGGCACCACTGAGCTACATCCCTGTCCCAGCAACTTAAATAATTTTTTTTTTTTTTTTTGGTACCGGGGATTGGACTCGGGTCCTTGCGCTTGCGAAGCAGGCAGTGGGAACCACTGAGCTAAATCCCCAGCCCATAAATATTTTAATTAAATTATCTCTAAAGATTTTCAGGTTATAATTTCTCTTCTGTAGTACTTTAGGATGGAGCTGATGCATGCTGAGAAACTCAGAAAAGAAAAGCAAGAATTTGAAAAAGCTGACATGGACATGGTAAGATCTAATGTATTGCCACTCATAAACAATATATAGTCTTATGGGCCTGCGTAGGAGTAAGAGACAGTATTTGGAGTATATTTTTCTTTCCAACTTAGTGTTGTCACAATTTTTATTTTTTTTAGTCCTGTCACAATTTGAAACTTAAAGATGGGTCTAGAGTTGTAGATAAGCTTAGTAAATACAAAATAAAGTTTTGGGCTTTAAATATATATATATTTTTTTGGTGCCGGGGATCAAACTTGTGACCTTGCGCTTGCGAGGCAGACACCGGAACCACTGAGCTAAATCCCCGGCCCTGGTCTTTAAATATAGATACTTGAACTAATTAATGTGGTCTTCAAAATTATTACTGATGGGATGGTCAAATGATGTTAATACTGTGTGATCCTTAAGTGATATATTAAAGGGTTCAAGGAGCTTGAGTTAGACTGTGAAATGTGTTTTCTAGTCTTTCTTTTTTAAAATATAATTTTAACATGGAAGAATAGTTTTAAAGAAAGAAGTTTTAGAATGTTAGAGCTGAAGGAGGAACCTTGCTCAGTGTGTATTATTGTGATTTCCAGCTCAGATCTCTTTTTTTTAAAAAAATCCAAATAAAATCTTTTTTTTTTTTGGTACTGGGGATCAAACTCGGGACCTTGTGCTTGCAAGGTAGGTGGCAGAACCACTGAGCTAAATCTCCAGCAATAAAATCTTACACAGAAAGTAATCAGGACATGTAAAACTTGACCTACTCTGGTCTAAATGGAAAGTGAGACCTTATGCTGAGTGATCTTGCCACCACTCCAGGAGCCTGAGAGAAAGAACGTAGCTGGACGATCAGTGATCTTACCCAAGCTGCACATTTTACAAATGAGGGAACTGGGCCAGAGAGACATGATTTGCCAGGTAGTCTAGGACTGTTAATTTTCACACTAGTGCTTTTTCTATTTTTTGTTCTGTCTATTAAACTGTATTTAATGTAACTTTTGTAGGGGGATTTTGATCATCCTGAAGAAATCCTTAAGGGCGAGTTGGCACGGATCATCTACAAAAATTCTATAAGCAAGATTAAAGGTATATATCCTTTGAATATTCATCTGTGGTAGGAAAGTGAAACATTCTATTTATAATGAGGAGGACTGTTAGCTAATTTTGAGATTTTTCCACTAGAATGTGTGTAAAACTGTGATTATAGGTTGGCTGTAATGGCACATGCCTGTAATCCTGACTCTTGAAAGGTGAGGCAGGAGATCACAAGTTCAGGCCCGGGCTGGGTAATTTAGTGCCTTAGTGATATCCTGTCTCAAAATAAAAAATAAAGAAGGTATGGGTATGTAGCTTGATGTGAATGCCTTGGGTTCAGTGCCCAGGACCTAAATAAAACAAAAAATCATGGAATGTAGGAAATGTGTACTATACCTTTCAGAAAAGGTTTATTTCTCTTAGCTGATAATTGGGTGTTTCAGTTAGGTTTTTGAGTACTTAACTCATTTAGGGAGCTGGAATAAGTGACAGAGAACTGTTTGCCTTTAAGAAATTTAGAATGACAAGTATTTTTGAATGCTCCAAATTACTGTGTTAATAAAGATTTTTGTTGGGCCGGGGATTTAGCTCAGTGGTTCTGGCACCTGCCTCACAAGTGCAAGGTCCCAAGTTCGATCCCCGGTACCAAAAAAAAAAAAAATTAATTTTAAAAATAATGATTTTGTTGTATAGTGGGCCTACTGGATGATCTGTTCCCCCATTTTGTCTTTTTTTAATACAAATATTTTTAATCATTTTATTTACAGAATAAATTGCAAAAAGTATATCATCACATTTAGTGCAAATGCAACTAATGATAATTAGATTTAGATACTACTTTGTAAACTTTATATACTTTTGTAAAATGCAGTTATCCAATTAGTTATGAAAGAGTTACTTGTCTGTATTCATGATGTTACCAGACATGGCAAATAGAAACACAGTGGGCACAGGAATTACACTGAACATTCCCTTCAGTGCCTATGAGTGAATGAACCTGCCTCCCATACCCTACTGTTCTTCCATCCCAATCCCATAGCTGATTGTAAAATAAAATACATATATGAGGCATAAACTTTAAAAAAATCACAGTATAAAATGTTAACTGGTGAAGTGGTAAATAGCTATGATAATTTGTCTTATTTGCCTTGCTAGCATTACCGCCATGTAGCCACTTTTCCACATAGATTATGAACAGCATTTCTCTGTAATAAGGCATATTCCATGCACATCATGTAGAGAAAGGTAAATTAAAAAATAGAAAAGATTTATGGAGCATGAAATCTGCATGCATGTAAAGTAAGCATATGTTTTATATGGTTTTTTTCCTCTCTGTGCAGAATAATAAATATCACTATGTCTGATGCAAGTAATTCACTTCCAGGATTCTTCATATTAAGTGATCAGGGTAATGCCATTATTAAATTATCACCTTGCATTTATCATTAAAACTCTTACTACCATGTAGCCAAATGGAATATATACAGGACATGTTCTATGTGACATGATTTTCTGCTTTAAAAAATGTGTCTGGTTTCTGTGTTTCCAAAGAGATAAACAGGTCAGCAAAGCTGCTACAAAATGCCTCTGATTTATAAAAATACATCTGTGTGTGGGGCTGGGGATTTACCTCAGTGGTGCCACCACCTGCCTTGCAAGTGCAAGGTCCTGAGTTCAATCCCTGGTACCAAAAAACCCCAAATAAAAAAATACTTCTGTGTGTAAATATAATGAAGATTTGAAGTGGGCATTTTGACTTCAATGAGTACCATTCCTTGCCTCAACTCCATGCTTCAAGGTTTTTCGCATAGGACTAAAACTAAAAGCATTTTACACATTGGGTTCTTACAGTCTTATAGCAGCTAAGGAAAGTATCAGTTTGAATAAGTGGAGTCCTTCGTTTGCTATGTTGCTGAAATCTGTGATCAAGGGGCAAATAGAAGCAGTTCAGATTTTGTGTATACCTTGCAACATATCTTTTAAACTGACTCAAACTAGGGTGACGAAATATATCTGTTACAGAATACTAGATACATATATTGAATTAAATGTTACATTCAAACAAGCCTATTTGCTTTAACAAGTATACCGTATATTTTGCTACGAATTTCAGAAAAACATAAGCTCATCTTATCCGGACCATTTTTCTAGAAAGCATTCAATACCCACAAGATTTGTGTAGATATTTCTGTCTGGAGGCAGGCAGAGCCAATTTAAGGATTATCAAACTGTGTTTGTAACAAACTGAAAAAAATCTGTAGCACATCGTACACAACTAAAAAAATACAATAGAAATATAAAGGTATGGGGGAGGGGATAAAGCTTTTCACTCTCTACATCAGAACCAAAGTTCTTCGTAGGAGTAAGTTTACAGAAAAGGCAAAATCACAGGTGATTGACAGCCCTCAGTTATTAAGACATGTAAAAACACAAATCATAGAAATCAGCAGCAATGAATTCTATGATTATACAAAACAAAAAAAAAAATCAAAAAATTCTGGACACAGATTTGACTGTTGGCCTGAAGAAAGAACCCTGTCTGGATGTCTGGTACACAGAAAGCACATGCCCATGTGCATTCCACTTTTGTGTTTTTCTTTTGTGCACAACACCTGATAGAACTGAGGATCTTAGGCTAGTAAATTAAAAATTCTGAAAAAGTTCCCCCAAATTAAAGCATCAATTCCTAGTTGTTATTGAGAGTTGATTTTTTTTCTCTTGTAGGAGCAAGCAAATAAAAATATAGCCATGCACATGCACACATACATGTATCTATAGCACATGCTGAGCGAGATCTGTCAGGAGACAGCTAGTGTTAGATGCTCAGCTTTACCATTGCAGTATCTCTTCTTCATTTTTATACACAAACTCAAGGTGTTGGGCCACAAACTGTAGATCCTATGTTCCAGCTTAGAGCATTCAACTTTTTCCTTTTTCTTCAACATGGAATGTCACATAGCCTTCCTTCAGTCACTGTTAATACTAGAACTAAATAGTTTTCCTGCAGTTTTTTCTCGGAAATAAGAAGTAAAAATTTAGGATACTCTCGCTTTAACGCTGCCCTTATAACTGAGGCTGGTGCCCATCCTCTAGGATTTACATTAGATACATAGATAATCTTGCATAGAATGTTTTCCCTGCTTATCTCCTGGTCTCTGGTGGGCTTACCAAGGCTTGACAAATTATAGCAATATTTATTTTGGCACGAACACATTGGTTGGTTAGAGGAGCAGTGTCATGATCCACAGAAAAATTACAAACTATCCAAGTTTCAGGGTCATTTTCAGTCAAGGTTGGTATCTTTTGAATCCTCTGTTGTGTGTCTGATAAATGATGATTGCATTATCAGCTAATGTTGCCACCACATGAAAGTTTTGTATGGTTGTTTCCCAGTCATTGCAAATATCATCATTCCAGAAATAATTGCAGTCTTCATGTCCTGTAACACCTTTAACTGCATTAGTAGCTTTCAGAGGAGCCAGAGCAATCCCATTTTCTTCCACTTCTCTTCTGTATACCTTCATTTCTCCTCCTACAACCAACTGCTAGTTGACATGGCAACCTACATCCTGCAATGAGTAAGTCATATGGTTCTGCACCATTTCTTCAACCTATGGACAAATCTATGAGCGAGTCCCCACAGAAGAAAAGGCATCTCCAGACGGCAATGATGTAGGCCAATGTAATCTGACCTTTTCATTCTGTAACTGTTCTTCTATTTTATCTTGTCAGTCAAGAGTAGCTTCAACAGCATCAAATAACTCTTCTGCATTAATTAGACTGTTTGGGCCTTCTTCGTAATCTGGTCCTCCAAAATGGGATTTTTTTCTTAAGTTCTGTCATTGGAGTTTTGTATTCTTCTTCTGTTCTTAGTTTCCTCATCTAATCTCTTTTGCCAGCTGTCTTCACGTTTTAAGATTAACTCAATACAGTGAGGAAGTGTAGTAAGGATTTTAGCAGTAGTTGCCTTGAAGTTTATTGCTCCCCCCCTTTTTTTCATTAAGTTTATTGGTACATTTTAGGTATACAGTACAGTTACATTCATCATTGGGATCTTGTACCTTTACATGATGTATCTTGGTTCTTATTGTTGCTTCCCCTTTCAAGTCTGTGCCATTGATTCCTTTTGGTGTTATATGTGGAAATGACTTCTTTCTTGCCATTGATACTGTGCAAGAAGTTGCCATCAGAATGTGTTGTAGGAAAGTCATCATCATCTACCACTTTATCCCTTTGAAGTTCATCCTTGGAGACGGCATCAGCACAGACATTAAAGTACTTCTGGAGAGTATCAAGTTATCTACACAGGATGTCTCTAAAGGTTTCCATTTCAGCCAATTTCACACATAAACTGTGGCCTTTCTCGAAGAGGTAGATGTTGCAGAATAGCCACTTGCTCCAGACACCAGTGACACACCATTGAGCCATGTCGATGTGAGCTGGATTCAGATCCATATCCTGATTCAGTCTTGTGCTGTTCAGTGGCATCTATCCATTGTGGTCTGTGATCTGAATCTGAGCATGAAGATCCAAACTATCATTTACACTAATATCCAGTTGACATTCATTAAAATCATGAGGCTTTGCTGCCACCGCCATCTTCCTGCCTTCCCCCATCTTGTCTTATTTCTCAGCAACAACAACAATAACAAAAACAAAAACACAATAGTTAACTCCAGCTCAGAGTTGTGTACTTAGCACGTTTGAGGCCCTGGATTCTATCCCCAGCACCACAAGAAAAACCCTAGCCCCAGTACATCAAGAAAATGCTGCTTTTAGAGTAAAGTGGTTGTTTATTTTACTGACAATGAATCTTCTTTCCCGTTTTTAAATTTTAGGTGCAGAATTTCATGTGTCACTACTTTCAGTTGCACAGCTTTTTGACTTTGCCAAAGATCTACAAAAAGAAATTTATGATGAGTAAGTAAAACACTATAAAGGTGACTATGCCCATTTCTGATCTTTGTGGTAAGGATTTGAGGTTGGGTATTGAGAAAGCGGGAAAGAAAATATCATACTACATCCCTGGAAGAAAAGCTAAGTTTTAGGAAAATTATATCCCATTATATTTTTTAAAAAGGTATGTTCTTGGAGAAGTTCTTTGACTTTATTAGCTTCTTTTGGGAAATGATTTGTCTTTATTTAATAACATGTATCCCAAGTCTTATAGAAGAACCTGTATCCTGCTTTCTTGGCATGTCTTTTGCCTGTAAAATGAGAGTTGTTATTCATAACTTCAGATTTGAGTGATGAAAATAATTTTATTCTTCAGTATCTGTATTGTCTACAAATTATTTTTGCCTACCCAGGGCTACTTGCATTCAAGGGGGCACTCCTTGCTTTCACAGGAGTTAAGATAGAATGTGGATCAGTTTGTTTCTCGGATATCTCCAGGTTGTGCTTTTCCTCTGCTTCCTTTACTATAGGAATCAGGAGCCCCAGTACAATAAGGCTGTCCAGGGCTCATGGAGCCTGGGCTATTCACAGATAACTGCTGATTTGAAATTTAATTTGAAAGTTAGTGTGTGTGAATGGTGCCTGAATGTCAATAAATACATGATAGGTGTGTTCCATTCATTGATTTGTACAGTGACTGACAATATTCTGGAGAGCCTGTCAGGAAATGACTCATGGTACCATAAAGGTGTCCTGTATACATTTGTATAATTGGTGTACAGGTGTCCTGTGTACATTTTTAGAGTATGAGGACCTGCTGCTGTGCTAGATATTCTGAGTTAGTCCCTCATTGTAGGGCAAATGCCAATAATTTGGGTTTTCTAGCCTTCAGGCTTTGCACACAGATGACCCTCTCACTTGGGATTATGTGGCACGTCAAGAATTAGAGGTTGAGTCCCAACCAGAGGCACAACCACCAACAAAACAAGCCAAAGCAGTGGAGGTGTGCCGAAGGGAGGAGCGAAGCTGTGCTGTCTATGAAGAGGCAGTGAAGACTCTCCCTACAGGTGAACCCTCTGACCATTATGTGTAGAAGAAGTGTATCCGTGAGTGTGAAACTGGTGCTCCTGTTCTCAGTACCAGAAATCTCTGGTATAATTTACAATGTGTTTGGCTTTCCAGGTGGTTCTTTCTGTGCTGTGCTGAAACTGTTATGGAAATGTTCTACATTTTTTTTTTTTTTTTTTTTGGTACTGGGGATTGAACTTGGGTCCTTGCACTTGTGGGCCAGGTGGTGGAACCACTGAGTTAAATCTCCAGCCTTTGGAACTTTTCTGAACTTCTTCAGTAGTAGTGATGTTTATTTTCATTTATTTGGAGGAAATGATACTTAGGAAATAATTCATAAGATTTTTGTTCGTTTAAGGTATAGGGGAGAGAACCTAAGACCTTGTGCATGCTCAGCAAGTACTGCAGTGCCGAGCTAGATTCCCCAGCCCTTTTTGTTTTATTTTGAGGCCTGCTCTTGCTAAGTTGCCTAGGCTGTCCTTGAACTGCAGATCCTCCTGCTTCAGGCTCCCAAGATGCAGAAATTATAGGTGTGCACCACCACACTTGGCAGAAGATTTTTTACCATTCCTTAATTACCTTTTGCTAGAGATATAATTTTTGTTTGCTAATATTGGAGACCTGGACAAGACTTGTTTTTATATTTATATTGGTAGTTGCTTTTCTCCAGTATTTGAGCTGTTTGATTGGGTATAATTGGAATAACACTTTTTTTTCCATCAGGGAGTTAAATTCTTCCTCAAAGGAGTTTTCCCTTTGAAGAAAGGTATATGATGATTGTTGACCTAAGAGAATTGGTGACCTGACGAATATAATCTGACTCTTCCAGAGCCCATGTGGAAGTGTTATGTCAGCTTTTGCTTGGAACGATTTTCTAAGAAGACAAGTAGTGAGTTCCTCAGAAGGAAGGTAAGGACTTACGTTATGTGGTGACAGTGACTGACTAGAAAGTCTCTGTCTACTGAAAGAACAGAAGCATAGCTCTTGTTGGGGCTTGAGCGAGCTTCTGGAATTTCATTTTTATTTTTACTTATTTATTTATTTATTTTTGGTACCGGGGATCGAACTTGCGTCCTTGCGCTTGGGGGGTAGGCGGCAGAACCACTGAGCTAAATCCCCAGCCCCTGGAATTTCATTTTTAACCTCTTGCTTTCTTCTTGTGGCTGACCTGTCATTGGGAAGATCTGAGCCTGTTTTGTCTTGGTACTGGCTACCAGGGCAGGAGAGTCTCCTTTTTACTGGGCTGTGCCTGAGGTGGCCGCTTACTTATCTGATCATGAGTGACACCACCACAAGGAGCAACTCAGTCCCTTCTCTGAATTCTTAGAAATATACAAAACTGCTTTTGTTTATGTCAGAGAACAGAGCCCTTTTCAGGGATCTTTGTAATAAAATGGGGAATCTTTTCTTATTTCAGAGGCTAGAAAGAACCATGATTACATTCAGGAAGGCAAATGAACTCAGACTTCTCTCGGAATTCCACTATAAGCAATGGGTAAGTAACTGGAGAGCATATTTGCTGCCAATTACATGCACTTATTCCTGTTGTTCTGTGCTTGTTACACAGATAATCCCATTCAAAAGTTTGGTATATAGAGGATGTTTACATTTGGTTGTCAGTATTTGATAATATGCGAAAAGTGAAATCTGTTTTTGGTTTCTTTCTTTCTTTTTTTCTTTTTTGGTACTGGGGATCAAACTCAGGACCTTGCACTTGCGAGGCAGGTGCTGTGCCACTGAGCTAAATCCCCAGCCTTGGGTTTTTGGGGTTTTTTTGAAACAGGTTCTCACTATGTAGTTCAGGCTGCCCTTGAACTTACTATGTAATCCAGGCTGGCCTTGAACTTGAAGCAACCCTTTATCTCAGCCTCCCTAGTGCTGTGATTACAGGCATGCGCCACCACACCCAACTCCAAAAATAAAATGTGTAAAGGAAGGGATATTATATAGTGGAAAGTACTGCAACAGTCTTGAGTTTGGGTTTATTTTTTGTTTGCTCATCCATCTTTTATTTACAGTGCTGAGAACTAGATCCACGGCTTTGTACGTGCTTGGTAGGTGCTCCACCACTGAGCTATGCCCTCAACCCCATCTACCCACTTTTCTTTTGAGACAGGATCTTGCTTTGTAGTTCAGGCAGAGCTTTGAATTGTCCTGCCTCAGCTTCCTGCCTGCAGGGATTATAGCCATGTGCTACTACATATACCACTTGACTTTTCTTGTTTACTTCTTTTTAAAATAGTAATAGTGTTCGTTGGTTTTGCCTCCTTACACAGTTGTTGAGCACGTTGCATGTGTTAGTGGGTACATAAATATATATAAATACATTTACTGGGGGGAAGAGATTAAGAGTCTCTTTTGGGGGCCTCCTGCGTTCTGGGCAAGCACTCTACCACTGAGCTATGTCCCCAGCGCAAGAACAAAAGTCTTTATATTTGTTGAGTATCTTTTGTGTGACTTCTTTTGACTGTTAGTATGATTTTTGACTCTTGATGAATATCATTTTTACTTAATTGCATTTAATGTCTTGTTATTTTTATTCTATTACATTAACATTTTCTACATTTTTTTTTTTTGGTACTGGGGATCGTACATAATTTTTATATATTGTATATTATATAGTGTAGCCTATTTTATTATGTTACTGTGACTGAGATTCCCTTCTCCCCCATTACAGTAGCTATATGAAAATCATAGGCTTGGATGGTTTCAGCTGTCCCTTCTTAAAATTTGAATGGTTGCAGTCAGTCACATGCTATGAATTGCAGTGTCCTTTGAGCATTGCCTTGGCAGTCCTGTTGTCCTTGCATTATCTTCTTTCTTTTGGCATACACAGTTGTGACTGTTTCAGATGTTCTCATGTATACTTAAATCTTTTATCCTGCCTTTCCTAAGCCCACCCACTTTAGTAATCATTTGGTGACCTTTTAACAAGTCCCTCAAAATGCTGCCATTATACATCTAGCTGGTTCTATACTCATCCATTCTCCAGATTATTTTCCACAGGTTGGTCTTTTAAAATTGGGTTATTACCATCAGATTATTCTATGGTTTCCCATTATCCTTTGGATAGAGCTACTCACACTCCTTAACTTGGCCCCTGGGCCAAGTATAGTAGTGTATGCCAGTAAGCCTAGTTACTTGGGCCACTGAGCCCAACCTGAGTAACTTTGTGAGACCCCATCTAAAAAAAAAAAAGAGTTGTAGCTCAGTTTGAAGACCCTGGGTTCAAAACAAAACACAGAACCCCCCCAGAACCCTTGACTTGGCTCTTAGCTGTATTTTCAGACTCATTGTCCAGTCCTCTGGTTTGTGTCCTGTCTAGTCACACTGTACTTGGATTTCTTTCCCTTTCAAGCTGTCTCTCATCTTTGGCCTCTGGCACATGTTGGTTGGGGTAGCCTCTTTTCCCAGGGTCTCTGTGTTTACTTGACTAGTACCTATTTTTTCTCAAGTCTTGGTTTATTTTATTTATTTATTTATTTGGCACAGGGGCTCGAACTTGGGTCCTTGCGCTTACAGGGCAGGTGGAGGAACCACTGAGCTGAATCCCCTGCCCTTAAGTCTTGGTTTAAATGCTTCCTTTCTGGGAGTCCTTTCTCATCATTGCCACAGACCCTGTTGGTGCTTCTGACTTGTACTCCTGTAGTGTATGATGCTTTTTCTTCAAGGCACATACCACACTGTCTCTCTGTTAGACTGCAGGCTCTGTGGGGGATAGGAAATGTGCCTGATTTTCTCATGATTGAAGTTTTTTTTTGAGACAGGGTCTCACTATGTATTTCAGGCTGGCCTTGAACTCACTGTGTGTCCCAGGCTGAACTCAAATGTGCAGTGATCCTCCTGGTTCAGCCTCCCAAGTGCTGAGATTGTAGCGGTGTGCCACCATGCTGGGCTCATAATTGTATCTTGCATATAACACTGTAGTAGACATGCTTGGTCAGTGAACTGATTACTTATTGCCATTTACTTGATTGTTTTAGTTTTGTTAAATTATTTTGGTTTTAGGTTTTTATCTGTATTAAAACAGTATAGAAATAAGTATTTTGAATTGATAAGATTATTTTCATTTAGCCAGGCATGGTGGCGCATGCTTGTGATCCCAGCACTTAGGAGGCTGAGGTGGTAGGAGGAGCACTGTGACTTCGAGGCGAGTCTGGGCTACATTGTGAGTTCAAGCCCAGCCTGAACTACATAGCAAGACCCTGTCTCAAAAAAAAAAAAAGATTTTCTTCATTTATTTGTTGTGCCATAGTTGTTAAATTCCAGAATTTAAGAGATGAACATTTTCATAATTCTAGTTACTTGTGTCAAAATATGTAACAGAGGGCCAGGGATTTAGCTCAGTGGTGCTACTGCCTGCCCTACAAGCACAAGGACCCGAGTTCGATCCCTGGTACCAAAAAAAAACCAGTTAACAGAAAATTTGTATGAGTTTGTAATGCTTCCAGCTTTATCTAAATGATTGTATATATAATATTTCCTTAGTGCTTCACAAAGACTATTTTTTTTCTCCCCAATACTGGGGATTAAACCTAGGACCTTCACACTGAGCTGCATCCCCAGTCCTTTTTGTTTTTAATTTTGAGGCAGGTTTTTGCTAAGTCTCAAAGTTGCCAAACCTGGGCTCAAATTTGTGATCCTCATGCCTCATGCTCCCAAGTAGCTGGGATTATAGATATGTGTGTGCCAGCACATCTAGCTACAAATACTGATTTTATCTTGATTTTTTTTTTTTTTTTTTTTTGGTACTGGGGATCAAACTCGGGACCTTGCACATGCGAGGCAGGTGGGTGAACTACTGAGTTAAATCCCCGGTCCTATCTTGATTTTTATACTTGAGTGGATTTGGATTCTAAATTATCTAGGCCTGTTTTCTGGTATTTCTTTTTTGGTACCGGGGATCGAACTCAGAACCTTGTGCTTCCAGCACCACTGAGCTAAATCCATGGTCCTATTTTCTGTTTTTTGACAGTCCAGATGGATAGGAGTAGGAAAAGGAGAAAGGATTTCAAGTTGTTCCTTTGCACCTGGTTAGGATCCATGGTAAAAGGTTTAATAGAAAGACAGTGGAAATTACTGCCCCAGATGAGGTCTTTGTTTCTGTTTAAATAAGTAATTTAGGTTTCAGAAATTAATTTTCCAGTGATCCTTTTCTTAGATCGAGTTGTTGCTGCAACATGACTTCTTTACAGAAGCTCTGAAGGTGGCAGAAACTGGGACTGAATTGTTCAAAGACTCTGTAACGATGTGGCAGAAAAAGCTGCAGGTGCTGTTGAAGTCAAAGAGCCCAGATATAGACAAGCGTTTTGAAGAAGCCTTTGTGCACCTGAAGCCCCAGGTCTGTGAGTGGGGCTTATGTATTTCATTTGGTTTGGAAGCACTTTTAAGACTTTAGCCAAAGCTCATTTGTAGTGTACTTGTCTGATGAGTGCAGGGGCATTTGGTACTAAGTGGTGATGGTCCAAGAGTCAAGAGTAGAAGAATTTACTTCCATTTAATAGGCTATTTCTAATTCTTATTTGAAGATTGAGTAAATTGTATAAAACTTACTTTATTTAGATGTCTTTACAGGTGAGAAATAGTGTTTCTCACTTGGCATCCAAAGCTAAATGTAAATCTAGTTTTTAATTACTAATATATTTCTAAACCATAGTTGTTTTTTTTTTGGTACCGGGAATTGAACTCGGGACCTTGTGCTTGCAAGGCAGGCAGTGGAACCCCTGAGCTAAATCCCCAGCCCACCATAAAGTTTTTTTAGTGGTACTGGGGATTAAACTCATGCTAGACAAGAGTTCTACCACTGAGCTACCTCACCATCCCTTTTTACTTGGAGATAAGTTCTCACTAAGTTACCCAGGTTGGCCTTAAACTTGTGATCTTCCTGTACCTCAGCTTCCTGAATAGCTGGAATTTTAGGCATGGCCACCACTTGCAGCTTAAATCTCAAGGTTTAAATCAAAATTTAAATCTTAAAGCTTTGTTGTAAATTTTTTATGTGAGTGGGGGAAAAAAGTATTCCAGAAGGAAATGTGGAAAAAAACCCTATTTTATTGCTCATTTGTGTTTGGCCCTGGGCCATGAGTAATGATCAGATCATTTGGCCTAGATTAGTTAGTTCTTATATTAAGTGTTCTAGACAGTAGAGACATGATCTGGTAGCTGTGGATCTGAAAGTTAATTGCTTAATTAACTGAAAGGTGATTGATAATGATGATATCCAGTGACGGTAAACCTATGGCATGCGTTCCACAGTGGGCTTTTATTATTATGGAAAGCTCTAAAAGGTTTGCCATCACTGATGATAACTATAGATAATATTCCCTAGCATGTGGGAACTAATATGATCAGGACAGTGTTGCTCTGGATGACTTGGTCAGAGGGCTCTCTTCTGGCATGCCAGTCCTGCCGGGCAATGAGAATTCTCTCCTAATTAGGATAGACATGAGATGAATCCGTATTTTACATGTTGATTAATTTGGGAGGAACCTGTCTTTGTAGTGATTAGTTTTTCAGAGTTTAGTGCCAAACAATCATTTTGCAACATTTTTTATCATGAGCAGGTTTGTCTGCCCTTGTGGATTTCTTGGGCAGAATGGAGCGAAGCTGCTGAAAGCCAAGAAGACACGGAAGCTATCTTTAAGGTACAAGCTCCATGTTCTAAGTCCTGTGTGAGGAATGGGTATGGGGGTTCACTGGTTGGTAAGTTTCAGGGTTATTTCAGCAACAGGTGTTCCTAAAGCCCCTGTTGAGTAACGTGCAGTGGTTCTGGGAGAATTTGTTTTGGTATGTATGCATTTCCTTACATGGCTTTTTTTTCCTTAAATTTTAGAAAGCTATTTTAGCTGTCACGGGTGCCAGCTCAGTTACTCTGAAAGATAAATACCTTGACTGGGCTTATCGAAGTGGTGGCTACAAAAAGGCCAGAGCTGTGTTTAAGAGGTACTGACAGATTTTCAGAGCTGTTTCTAGTCTTTCTGCCCATACTCAGCCCCTCATACCCAGAGTATATGTATCACAGATCATATCTGAAAGCTAGTAATCTAGAAAACTTTTTCAAAAAGTGATGTTTCTTTTCCTTTTTCTTTCTTTCTTTTTTTTTTTGAACAATAAAAGCAGGTTATAACCATTCTGAGGGGAAAGATAAGTCATTGTAATCCCATCAAGATAAAACCGCTTCTTAATATGACATCTTAAAACTTATTTATGTGTAATTGAGATTATACTATAATCACAATTTTGTATACCAGTTTTATTTTTAATTTATTTTTGGGACAGAGTCTTGCTGTGTAGTTCAGGCTGGCCTTTAACTCACTGTATACCCCAGGCTGGCCTTGAACTCATGGCAATCTGTCGGGAGCAATGCTACATAATTTTAGGGAAAAACTTGATTAGGCCTAGTTCTCCTGCCTACAGGCTATCTATGGCATTTTGAAGCATAATTTCATTTTGGCCCCCATCACAACTGAGACCTCAATGATCCAGTGATGCTGTGATGCTCCAGGACAAGATTATACCACCTGAAGACATTCTGAGAGAAACAAAATCTTTATCTACTCAGTTCCTCATTGTTCTTGGATTGTTACACTTTGTTTATGCCGATGTACTGAACTCTCTGCAAGTCATTTGTTACATCTGTTTCTCCTGATATACTGAATAAAAGGTGCGGTAAGCTGGGGGCTTTCTTACCACCCATAGCAGCACTGATCAGACCCAAAGCTCAGCTTCTTCTCAAAGTCTCATTTTTCTACCTTTCCTGTATAATAAGTTAATTCGCCTTGTGCTGCCGTGGCTTGCAGGAGACTAGGACTTACTGCAGAGGTTCTAGTAACGTCCCCTTTCCCTGTTCCCTACAGCAATCCTCCTGCCTTAGCCTCCCAGGTACTAGGATTACAGGCATGCACGGCCGCACCTAGTTCCTGAATACCAGTTTTACTGATGATCATTAGATTGACTTTTTCCTCTTTTAGTAAAAATTCTTCGTAAGTATCATTTATTAAAAATAGCTGTATAAGGAATCACCCTGTGAATATGGCATAATTTCTTGAGTTAGGGTAATACTCTTCTGATGAACATTTCTGTGAAAGTATTATTTGTCCATACTGCAAATTGTTTCCTTAGATTATGTTCTTTATAAAAATAGAGTGACTGGTATCCAAAAAGACCTTGAGATATATCAGTGGTGATACTTAAGACTAAACGTGAGAAAGAAGAGAATAAGAAGAAAAGAGGGCTGGGAATTTAGCTCAGTGGTTTTGGCGCCTGCCTCAAAAGCGCAAGGTCCCAAGTTCAATCCCTGATAACAAAAAAAAAAAAAAAAAAAAGAAAAAAGAAGAAAAGGGAATAGGGAAAAGCTTGGTGATGAAGGGTAAATCATTAGAGGCATGGGCACGACCAGCTGATGGGTCTAGTCCTTGCGCTGAAATGCTACCAAGTCCACATTAAACCATCTCTGGTGAAAGTATTGGCCTGAGTATTTTTTATACCTATGAGATGTAATAGGCTTTCGCTCACTGTGGAAGATAACATCCCCTGGTTTTTAGTTTACAGGAAATCCGTCCATTTTCAGATGAGTTTTTCAGGAAAATGATCCAGTTTGAAAAAAAGCAAGTAAGTGTTCCAGGAATTTAAAAAACTCCTTACAATACAGTATAAATTTTTAGTTCCTTGGTCTCTTTTTCATCGTGCTGGTTTAGGAATGGTAGTGAGCAAAGAGGAGAAAGTACATGTCTGGAGAACAGGAAACTCAGATGTCAGAAAGCCTTCCCTGCCCAGCTAGGTGAGGTGTTGCTGCTGCTTTGCCTCCATAGCGCCCTGTTCTTTTGTCTTGGATGCTGACGTACAGTGGGCATTCAGTTACAGTTTTTGGTGTTTTTATTTTTTTATTTTATTTTTCATTTTTGGTGTTTTTAAATGGAAATTGTGAAGTAGGAGAAAAGGCCAAGAAAGTTTCAGCTTAAAAAATGGTACACAGAAAATTCAAATGTATCTTTAACTCCAACACACTAACAGCCAACCATACCTGAAGGTTTTTTCCTCCCCAGCCCTCAGGATTGATCCCAGGGCTTTTGCACCGAGATACACACCCAGTCAATTTTTTATTTTTTAATTTGAGACAAGGCCTTGTTAAGTCACCAGCCCTGTCTGGGTTTGAACTTGTGATCCTCTTGCCTCTCAGCTTCTCAGAGTACTCTCTCTCACACATGGTTTTGTACTGTTATATTTCTGATTTATGTGTCATATGAGATTTCTCTTTTTTTTAACTAAAATTACTTTGTAAACATATTGCTATATTTTTACATGTTTATCATATTTTTATTGCCTGTAGTGTTAATGTTTTAGTTTTGTATCTATTCCATTACATACAGGTTATTTCCAGTGTTTTTTGATTTTAGTTTTTACTTTGAGATAGGGTCCTGCTAAGTTGCCTATGCTGGGCTTGAACTTGGGATCCTCCTGCTTTAGCCTCTTAAGAGTGCTAGGATTACAGATACATGCCACTACATTTGGCTTTTTATGTTTTTTGTTTTTTTTTGTACTGGGGATCAAACTCGGGATCTTGTGCTTGCGAGACTGAGCAAAATCCCTGGCCCTATTTATGTTTTTTTTGATATTGAAAAGAATGCTATAGACATTTTTGTGCATCTTTTTTTTCTTTTGAGTGACTTTTTGGAGACAAATTTCTATATTGGGGGTACTTTTTGTTTTTGTTTTTTGAGATAGAATCTTGCTATGTAGTTCAAGCTGGCCTCAAACTCATAGCCATCCTCCTGCCTTAGTCTCCCAAATGCTAGGGTTATAGGCATGCACCACCATGCCCAGCGGGGATACATTTTTTTATGGTTTCATATATTGTCAGATAGTCATGTAAAAGAATTAACTTAATAATCCAGAAATATGCCTGTTTCCTCATAGCTTTTCCAAGTGTCCAATTTTGGTTTTTCTCTTTTATTTTGTTATTTTACTTGGTATTTATTATTTTTATTTGAATTTTGAGAAATTAACTATTGAGGTTGAATTCTTTTTTTCATGATTTCGATCACTGTTGTTGAACTAGTATATGTTATTGTCCATAGTAGTCTTACAGGAGATAGGTTAACATAATGTTCAATAGCCAGATTTTAGATTATTAACCTAATAGTTATGTACTTTGGACACATCACTTAATTCTAAGCCTCACATCCTCATCTATAAATAAGGTCCTTATACCTGTGCAGGGGCAGGAGAGTTATAAGGCCAAATGAGGTAAAGGACTTTGTATATTGTCATGTTGACTTCCCGTAATACAACATTGTCTCAGTAAAGGGAGATTTGAATAAGGAAAATCTTTTCTTTTTGTGGTGCTAGAGAAGTAATTGTATTATTATATGAATTTTTAAACTGAAAGTGTTAAATCTACTTTGAAAGTGAAATAAAAGGGAATACATTTTAAAAATACATATAAAAAATTACCACTTACTGATTATCTGTGAATTAGTGACAGCTATTCTGCTAGGTGCATTCAGCACTTGAATACCTGCAGTTAGGCTAAGAGATATTATCCTTGTTTTCTAGGTGAGAAAATATTTGAAGTTAGGGTTAAAAAAATTTGTTGATGATCATATAACTAGTGGTTATTGATACTTAGCATTGATATAAAAACTTTTAGGGTAGACATACCTAATAGGTGCCAGAGCCCATATTTGGGCTCCTCTTTGCTTGTTACTCAAAAGGAAGAAATCCTTACCTATGAAAGGTAAAACTTTTTCCATCCACTCTATTTTTCTGTGTTATGGAGCTTGAACCCAGGACCTTGAGCATGCTAGGCATGCTCTACCACTTTTTCTTTTTTTTTTTTTTGGTACCGGGGATCGAACTCGGGTCCTTGTGCTTGCAAGGCAGGCGGCGGAACCACTGAGCTAAATCCCCAGACCATGCTCTACCACTTTTTGAGACAGGATCTCCATAAATGGTCCAGGCTAGTCTTGAATTTGTGACCCTCCTGCCTCAGTCTCTCAGGTAACTGGGATTATAGGTGTGCACCACCATTGCCAGACTCCATTTATATAAGTGTCAGGCTTTCCAGTGTTATTTCCGGAGAAGCCACTCATGTTCCTCATTTAAAATTGATTAGGCTTGGGCTGGGGATTTAGCTTAGTGGTTCTGCCACTTGCCTCGAAAGTGCAAGGACCCGAGTTCGATCCCTGGATCCAAAAAAAAAAGTTTGATAAAATTTATTAGGGTTTTCTCCATCCTCAGAACTAAGTGCTTTTGTGGTTGACACTTGGTGAATAGTACATTTGCCTTTTTTTCTGGATAAGTTGAGAACCAGGCTGGTTCATCTTAAACCTCATCTATTTTCCCCTTCAGATACCTAACTGATAGTAGCTGCTTAATAGTCGAAGAGAATTTGTGCCTTATAAATGAGGTTTTTGAGTCAAGATTGTCTGATTGTTTTTGTTAGGAATCCTGCAAGATGGCTAACTTAAGAGAATATTATGAGAGGGCTTTGAGAGAGTTTGGATCTGTAGATTCTGGTAAGTAGGCTTTGGTTATAGACACAACTGTTGACTTATTATGCAGTCTGTGAGCTATTAGTATGGTTACAACAGTGTTTTTAGATTTTTTTATTCCTATCATGGCCTTATTTTAAATAAAACTTAAATTCTTTCCCTGCCTTTTGTTTTACTTTGTGCATAATACTTAGACATGTAATTTTACTTAAAATTTTAAGTTCACAAGCCCAAGGATCTAGGGATTCTTGTATAAAGAGCTCTGGATTAGAAGGGTCAGGGATGTAGCTCAGTGGTGCCAAGCATCTGCTTGGCAAGTGCAAGGTCCTGAGTTTGATCCCTGGTACCAAAAAAAAAAAGTTAAAGAACTCTGGATTAAAGATTTGCTTAGTTTGGTTCTCTTAAAAAAGTATCTGTAGGGCCGGGGATGTAGCTCAGTGGTGCCTCACCTGCCTGGCAAGTGCAAGATCCTCAGTTTGATCCACGGTACTAGGAAAAAAAAAAAGCATTTGTAAGGAAGAGTTAATAATGTGGGTCATTAGTTATAGTAGGTCATAGTAGTGGGAAATTGGGGATGGGGAAAGGTTGACTAGTGGATGCCAAGTTAGGGTTAGATATGAGTAAGAAATTCTGGTATGCTATTATTGCACAGCAGGATGAATATATAGAGAATAGTAATGTACTGTATATTTTGAAAACCTATGAGAAAGAATTTAGAAAGTTTTCAACATAATGAAATGATGGATGTTTGAGTAGATTTGTATAAACTGATTTAAACATCACACAATGTGTATTATATCACAATATCACATTACCCCACTAATACTTACAATTTTTGTTTTTATGTAACAGTTAAAAAGCAAATTTTATTTTAAAAAATGTAGTTCAGGAGAACAAAAAGGGATAGAAGTTACTGCAAACAAGTAAACTTGAGATGCTAATGTTATCGTCACATTGCCTTCATTTGTAGGAACTTCTGGGCCTGGGTTTGTTATGTAAAATGTGGCACTTTGTTTAGGAACTCATTAACACTGACATATATAGTTATTAAACTCACATTAAAAAGGTACATTAACTCCTACTGGTTTTCAACAGACCCTTCTTGGAGAAATGAATGAAAATAGCATTTTTGCTAATCTAACCCAAGCATATTTTCTTTTTTCCTAGTACCGGGGATCGAACTCGGGACCTTGTGCTTGTGAGGCAGGCATGGTGTTACTGAGCTAAATCCCTGGCCCCCAAGCATATTTTCTTAAGCATAGTAACAGTGAATGAATTGGGGTCAGTTTCACTTTGAAAAAAGACTCAGCAAAATCCTCTCTTTAAAAAAAATTAGTAGTTTTAGTTCATTAAGTGACATACTGCCATAATTATTGCAAAGGTTTCCCACTTAAAGAAAAAGCTCCCTTTCCTATACCTAGATTTAAAGAAGCTAAAAGAAGTATTGTTTCACATAGGACTCTTAGGAAATAATAGCAAGGAGTTTCTTAGAACTCTTGAATGAATATTAAATACATGTTTGCCTAATAAAGGCTTGTCAGTTATCTTATTATGTGTACAGTAATTTTTTGTTGTTGTTCCTTTTAAAGATCTCTGGATGGATTACATCAAAGAAGAGTTGAACCACCCCCTTGGTAGACCTGCGAACTGTGGACAGATCTACTGGCGAGCCATGAAAATGTTGCAGGGGCAGTCAGCAGAGTTGTTTGTAGCTAAACATGCTATGCATCAGGCTGGCCATTAGTGAAGAGACAAATAGAACCAACTTTGTGAAATTGTACTGCAAGTCCTCTGGGCAGACTGTATTATGAATCAGTGTATAAATTGTTCAGTTGGCACACAGATGGCTGATTGATTTTTGAGACATGCTTTAATTTTGTATTACATGTTAATGTTTAGTTCCAGAAAAGAGAACTTTTTATTAAATGGCTACTTGTGGGGGCTAGACCTACCATAATTCTTAAATATTTTCCAAAACATAGGGAAATCATATAACTGAGTGTTATTTATTATCCCTGTTCAAGCATGCATATCTCTAATGTGGAACTAGGAGCTAGTTAAAATGGAGAAGAAAGTACAGTTTTGTTTTATTATCAAAGTCTACATGATAGGCATTTGGATATGGAAGAAAAAGGATAGTGTAGAGAAGAAAATGAATGCCTCCTATTAATCCAGCTAAAGTTGAACTCAATAATTTGATTTCCTTTATTAGAATTGGATTTATACTTTTAGAACATTCATTTAAGAAGCATTTGAACAAGAAATATGTGCTCATGTGCAGAAAAGAAAGGAGGTTTTTACTGATGGGAGATAGGGGTTGGAAAAACAGGTAAATGTCCTAAAAGAGGTGGAGTAGCAGAGAAAAAGGTGCTAAGTATTGGGGAAAAAGTTGTTCAGTTTAAAATGTCTTCTATCAAGGACTAATGAGGAGAGAAGTGTTTGCTTGGAGAAGCCCAGCAATACGGGAGGGGCAGGGTAGAGAGTAGATTTCGGTGGCAGAAAAGTATGTCATCAGGGAGTTATGGAAGGATGGCTTGGAGCAGAGAACGGTATTCTGGGAGCAGAGGAGGAAATCATTTGAATTATATTCTTTGTTTGAGATAGAGTCTCACTATGTAGTTCATACTGGCCTTGAACTTACTATATAGCCTAGGCTGGCCTTGAACTCACAATGATCCTCCTCCTCCCCCAGCCTTCCAACTTCCAATTGCTGGGATTACAAGCATGTGCCACTATCCCTGGCTTGAATTATTTAGATAGATAGATAGATAGATAGATAGATAGATAGATAGATAGATAGATACTGGGGATCAAACTCGGATCCTTGCACTTGCTAGGCAGGCAGCGGAACCACTGAGCTAAATCCCTGGCTCTTGAATTATATTCTTTAATTTAACATTGTGATATCATTGGGAGAAGCACTCAGTGCGTTTTTATTTAAAGTTTAACTTAATAAGGCCAGGGATTTAGCTCAGTGGTTCTGCCTGCCACGCAAGCTCAAGGTCCTGAGTTAGATCCCCGGTACCAAAAAAAAAATGTTTAACTTAATACTGTATTATTTTCTCATGCCATTAAACTTAAAAACATTGAATGAAGTTGGGCATGGTGGCACATGCCTATAATCCCAGCACTCTGGAAGGCTGAGACAGGAGGATCACAAATTCAAGCCCAAGTTGGACAACTTGGCTACACTCTTCCTCAATATAAAAAGTGAAAAAGGGGTGGGAATATAGTTCAATGCAAAGGTCCTGGATTCAATCCTTAGTCCTACTCCCCTTTCCCCAAATTAATTTCCCCAATTGAATTTATGGCATTCCGTTGAAAAATAAGCCATGACTTGTTTTAGTAATTTAATCCTCTATGGTTAGATCATTCCTGATTTTTATTATAAATGCTTTTCATATTAATGAAGATAATGTGCTTTTCGTGTTTCTCTTGTCTTCATGTTCTTAGATGATTTAAAAACCCTTTCTCATTTATGTTTTTAATGTATTAAGATTATTAGTCTTTTGATTGTCTCTCAATTGTTGCAAATAATTTTACACATCCTCACCCCACTTTCTTTTGTGGTGCTTTTTGGTGCTGAGAGTTTTGTTGTTGTTTTGGTGGCATTGGAGATCGAGCCCATGGAAGCCCTGACCTACAGCCCGAGTTTTTTTTTTCGGTCTCAGATATCAAACTCAGAACCTTGCGCTTACAAGGCAGGTGTGGTGCCTCTGAGCTAAATCTCTGGCCCCAGCCCGAGTTTTTTATTTTTATTTTGAGACATAGTCTCATTGAGTTCCCCACGCTGGCTTCAAACTTGTGATCCTCCTGGCTCAGCCTCCCAAGTACCTGGGATTATAGACATGAATCACCACACCTAGCACAATGTGTGTGTGTGTGTGTGTGTGTGTGTGTGTGTGTTTGATTTCTTTCGTTCTAAAAATCCTTTGAAGGTCTTTATTCTTGCTGAGGACAACTCAATTTTTTTCCTCAAACAGCTAATTTTCCGAATATACTTGGCCATTTTTCTCTGCTGATTCATGATGCTACCTTTAGTATATACTGAATTTCTATGCATATTATAGTATTTTAGAATATTTTTGGGTGTTTTGTTTGCTTGTCATTTGCTTTAAAATGGGAAATTTGCTCTTTTCCCTTTCTCTCAAGTCCTGAGAAGTTTTTCTGCAGTGTGGTTAGTGTAGGCCACTTACAGCAAGGCTCTGAAAGTGGGTTACCCTGGGTCATCATCACATCGCTGTATCTGGTCCTCACTGTTGAAGTTATGAAAAAGCATCTAGCTTTTCACCCTGAGTTGCACTGTTAGATGTGGTGGCCACATGTGACAGCTTATACCTGGAAGTAATTTGGTTTCTTATTCACACTGTTCCTATTTCCAGGGCTCAGTGGCCAATAGTTACTATATTGGACATCACAGATAAAAAAAATTTTATTTCCTCCATCGAAGAACATTCTGATGGACAGTGCTAATCTAGAGCCAGCCAGATTTGGGGAAAATGACTCATGGGTCATCAGAACACAACACATGAATCCCTCTACGTAGAAAAATAAAACATGAATGTCACGTATCAACTCCACCCTAAATATTTTCAAAAGTCTTGTCATTTACAAATAACATTTGCTGAGGGAGATGAAGGAAGAGGCTTCCATTGTTCCAAAAGACTGAATTAAGGTTTCCTGGTGAGCAGGGAATCCCGGCTTCCAGGTTTTCTGATGCTTTAAATGGTAACGCGATCATCATCACACCTCCAGCTGGCTTGTTAAGAGGTTAGGCAGTGGGCGCAGAGTGTGCCGCGCACGAGTGAAGGCTCTTCACAGTTGGGTGTTCCCCATGCATGTCCTGCCTGTCACCATGTGCCACTCTACGCGCTCCACGCAACAGGGGGACTCACTAGGTTGAAAGGTGGGCACTCTGGCCCGATTCTACCTTTACTGCACAGAACATTCAGAGTGTCCTGACCTATTGTGCCCATGCATTGTAGCAGTTTGTTGTTCTGATCATCTATCCTCAGTTCTAGTGGATTAACTTTAAAGACTATCTTTAACTTGAGCCAGGGAATCACTGAAGAATGAGTTATAGCCCAATTCCAGTCTGAATTTAGAGAAATCTGCAAGGGAGAAAGTAGAAAGTGCATGGAGCCTCAATAGTATTAACAGTTTTGACAGCTGGGCTTTATATCCTGTCCGGTAGGTTCGGGACATTTAATTCTCTAACGGGAATCGAGGTGTTGAAGCTGAAACAGCCCGTTGTTGGGTAGGGTAACAGGTCTTTTCGGACCCACGTGGCCCAGCCTTCGGTAGCGGCTACCTCGAGTGCGCCTGACCCCGCCCAGGCTCCCCCGTGACCCGCGCCCCGCCCCCCGGCCGCGAGCACCCCGGGCTGATTGGCGACTCCAGCTGGCGGCCGGGCCGGCGCGTCACGTGGCCGCGCAACGTCCTGGGCGCCGAGCAGCGGGCGGGCAGCAGGCATGGACACTCAGGTGGCTGGGGCCCAGGCGCCGGAGGCTGCGGGGCCGCCTCGGGGTCCCTCGCTGTTGAGCACGCGGGAGGCGCCCCGCAGCCCGGAGGTGAGCGCCGCGCGGGGGCGGGGCAGCCACCACCTGCGGCCGGGCAGGGCAGGGAAGTCGCGGGTTGGGGGCGGTGTCGGGCGAGGCCGCTCGGATGCCGAGCGCCGTCGGGGGCGCGCTCAGGCCGGCGGGGATGATGGCGAAAGCCGAAGGCCAGGGCCCCGGCATCCCGGGGCGTGGGCGGGGAGGCTGCAGGCCCGGGGGCTTCCTGGGGTCCTCAGTGAAGGGAGGCGATGCTGAAGAGGGGAAGCTGGGACCCGCTGCGAAGGGCCTGAGGCGGGGCACGGGAGGGCGGCTGGAGATACCGGGGCTAACTCGAAGAGCCGGGTCGGTCGGTGGGGCGCCGGTTTAACCCTGAGCGCCAGAGGATGACACATGCGTCGTCCCCTTTTCTGTTTAATGAGACCAAAAGGCCCAGTTTGACGCAGGTTTTCCAGAAACTTGTTTTCATGTGCAGACCAGACAGCTGTTTTTTCCAAGACCTTTCTTACAGCCATCACCTGTCCATGTTTACAGTTAATCCCTCGTGAGCTCCCTGACAGTACAAACTCTGTTTAGGGCTGTTTACCCAGCGCCTAGCGTTGTGCCTGGGACATTACATACGCCTATTGACTGAATGGCTGGATGGAACGCTTGCTTATGCATCAAAGGTGGTGCTTAACCCAGGATATGAAAAATGTAGCTATAGACTTAGGGAGAAAATTAGTTTGAAGAATAGGATAAGATTATGTCAAAGTAGGAAAGGATGTGCACCTTCTCTCCCAAGATGAGAAGTGGTACTCACGGAGATGAGTGTGCAGAGCGGATGGCTTGGAGTTTGAGTTCTAGAGCATGCAAAGAAATATGTTCAACAAGTCGACGGGCAGTGAGGGGGAGCGTGAATGCCGCGGCTAATCTTGTACTGAGACATGGAGGGCTGTTGAAGGTTTTGAGCAGATTAGTGATTACCACTGCAAGGCTAGAGGGTGGGGAGGTGGTTAGAAGGCTGTGGCAGTGGTTTAGGTGAAAAGCCCAGCCCCTTGGTAGGCAGCAGTTACCAGTGGTTGTCACTGACCACAGAAGGTGGAGTTGAATCATTGTTAAACCCTTGCATGAGTAGATAATGCTAATTGGGGCAAGTGCCAAAAGTACAGATTAGATGTAGGATAAAAGATTAATCTAAATTCAAGAAATATCACATTCCTGCAACATGCTAGGAGTTTCCTTAAATGTTACTTCATCATAAGCCCCTTGCAAGGTAAGAGCGGTCATCTCTGATTTCCAGGGGAGCTCACACTGAGTGAATGAGAAAGCTAGGATCGAATTCAGTGTAATCATTCCAGGCAGTGAACATTTCTTGTGTAATCATAGAGATCTTGGAGATGATAGGGCTTCAGGAACTTTTTATGTATGTGTGTATGTATATAGTCCTAGTTATCCTCCTGCCTCAAGCTTTTGAGTGCTGTGGTTACAGGCATGAATCACCGTGCCCAGCTTATTTATTGGTGGTAGTGGGGATTAAACCCAGAGCTTTGTGCATGTTAGGCAAGCATTCCACCACTGAGCTATGTTCCTAGCCCTTTTTATTTTATTTTTAAATTTTAAGGTAGAGTCTCACTAAGTTGCTCAGGTTGGCCTCAAACTTGGAATCCTCCTGCCTCACCCTCCTGAGCAACTGGGATTATAGGCATGTGCCTCCATGGTCTCAGGACCATTGAGAAAGTTCCAGGTCTCAGGAACTTTCAAGTGATGAGGCCAGAGAAGTATCTGGTTGATGATGGGGGATTAAAAATATTCCTTTCAGTGCTTAGCATTTGCAGAGGAACTAAAGCTCTGTACCTTCCATATATTAGTGAGACAGAAGGAGTTGTTTTGTCTCTCTCTCTCTCTCTCTCTCTCTCTCTCTCTCTATATATATATATATATA